AAGAAATAGGAATTAAAATTTGAGACATTTTTGTCGTGAATTTAAATTTTATCATACCTATATATACATATATTCGATGAAAGGTAAGAAATGCAAAATTAATTATATGGGAGCTTCTGCTTTTTTTGTACTGGAAAAAATGAAAAATTTACATTTTTTTATGTGTGGAATTATATTGAAGAACCATAAGAATTTTTGCATACGTTATAGTATTGACTGCAAGTTTTTAAAAGAAATTATAATCAAAAGTGTTATTTAAATGAAAATATGAGATTATACTGTGATGTACTAAATAATGCATCTTTTACACGAATGTATCTAAAAAATGATGTTAACACTATTGCAATTTTACGCGAATGAAGAGGCCAAGACCACGTCATGGTCGTATGCGATTTGCGCAATGCGGGGCTTCGCTGTCGAACATACTACCTGTATTACTGCATAAAGCTTCGGATAAGCTCATTATATACCGACATAAATCTTTTGCGACAGACCGATATGCGTAGATTAATACACGTGACTGTATTCAATTAAAATAAATCTTTAGGAAATAAAATTCACTTTATGACTTGTGTTCAAATTTTATTATGTTAGAATTTAAATACGAGGGATTGAGATTGATTTAATAATTTATTAGATATAAAAAACTTGTGCTGAAATTGAAAACTGAAAAATTATGATATAAAGTGTTCTTTCTCTGAGAAAATTGAAATCAAAGTTTTAATTTTGATTATCTGAAATATATTTTTTTTTGTGTACTTAAAATTTTTTTAAACTTTTAAAATTAATTATATATACACAGAGAAAATTTTTGCTTAGAAGTTAATTATGAAAATCGTGGAACAATATGATATTGGAAGAATTTTATAAGAGTTTCTCTGATTAATATTTACCACAATAAAAACTACTAATATTCACAATAAGATATAAAATATGTTCGATTAATTTTACTATGTATGTACATAGTAAATATTTAATCAGAGAAACTCTTATAAAATTTTACCATGATTTTCAGGGTAAATTCTCTCTATATATATTTTCTTTTTCTGCTAAAAAATAAAGAAAAGGAGCGTTTCGCGCTTTTCACAAGGTATAAACTTAGATAATGTTTATTTTAAATGTTGCTCCCTTTTTGCTAGAAATATCAGAGAATAGCATATAATAAAATTTTAAAATTTCCAATACTCCTACATGTTCCATATTATACATATTAGAAGAAAAATTCGGATTATTTCGAAATGAGCACGTGCGGAAAAATTGACGATTGAAAATAATCAAAATCGAGAACAATGACTGTTCTTCCGAGAATACTAATAACATTGGCGGTAATTGAAACTAGAAATAATGACAAGAACTTGTCGAGCATTGCTGCTACCAAGTTTAAATCGCACTATTTCCGCAATCAGTTACATTAACGGAGCTGGTTGATTCAACGTAGTCGAGGACTAACAATAATAATAACGATAATAGTGATACCGTCGGGGAATGCACCGGGGAATTCTCCCGGACACGAACGGTAAAACGACAAGGAGCCTGACCTCCTAACCCCTAGACCTGCGGGACACGAGCGCGCGCTCACAATCACGTTTTCTTGCAGCTCGTCTTTTCCGTTACGCATAATTTTTGCGCGATGCTCGCGCGCGCGTGCGACACGATCAAAACGGCGCTTTTAACGCCTGGTTGCGCAAATCTTGTCATAACCGTTGTCAAGAAAAATTACTTATACCGGATAACCGGTATTCACGCCCCTACCGGTGCAACATATTTTAAACTCGACATGTTTTAGGCGAACGTCGCGCAGATATAAACTATCATTATAATTATCGTCTTAAGAGCGATCGCGACGTAATCTTTCCTGATCGCGGATCTCGATTGATGACACTTATTTTAATCGAATGCCAGATTTGTCCGCGTTTGACAGTTTCTGGTTATTGATTAAACGAACGGTAAGTTTCTTTGCATGTTGATGGTCTTCGGATAATTATTATGTCAGATGGATAACAATTATACACCGTTAAAGTATTCCTTCCTGATCACTCACGTGTTATTATTTGGCCATATTCGCTTCAGCATGAATTAATATTGATTGTGATTTTTAACTGGCTATCTGTCTCTTTTTCTGGATCATAATGCTGATTATAATAGATGGAAAAGGAAAAGATTCAATTTACCATTAATAAATGATGCGTTGGTGGAACTATCTCTATGTCTTTTACAATCTACGTATTTACCGAGCATTGACACGTTGCTACGTCATATAAAATCAATGTTTTACCTATTGACGTATTTTCCTAATACGTCACGCAAGAACTATAGATTGACGATTATTGATGTAATGTTATAATATCTCTCTCTTGTAGCCATTTATATTTTAATATCAACCTTATGACTGATCATTATTTATAAACATCCTATAGATTATGCTGCTAGGCAATCTTTAAACATAAAACGTAACGGTAAGTATCATAAATTTAAGTCTCGAATAACATTGTCAAGGAGGTGTTAATCATCTTCAAATATCTGACAGCCGGAAATTTCATTTGCGTTGAGTCATATGCGTATTTCAGTTAGTCAGCATTTTAAATGTGATTTCGCATGATGTTTTTCATTGTAATGTTTTCAGAGAATGTGCATTCTGAAGTATTTTTCTCTTCCAGATGTTAAATGATTTTAATATATAATATATTATATATATTTATATATACACCGAGAGAATTTTCTCTTAGAATTCATTCTAAAAATTATGGTGATCATGGGACCATATGGTATTGGAAAAATTTTATGAGTTTCTCTGATTAATATTTATCACAATAAAAAATATTAATATATACATATACTAAAATTAATCGAACATATTTTATATTTTATTGTGGTAGATATTAATAATTTTTATTGTGGTAAATATTAATCAGAGAGAACCTCCATAAAATTTTTTCAATACCATATTGTCACACGATTATCATGATTTTTTCAGGGTAAATTCTAGGAGAAAATTCTCTCTGTGCGTTAGTGATTTAAATTTGTAATATATTTAATATCTCTCTCAGAAAGAATATTATACAAGAGAAAAATAGCATGTTTTTTATGGATATTTATCTATCTTTTACTAATCATTATCGATGAAAAATATGGAAAACCATTGGGTATAATATTTTAATAAGAATTTTAAATATAAAATAAATCAATAGTTTGCACTCATAATCAGATTCTCAATATAAAATTATTGCATATTTTACATTTATTGCAATATAACAAGTTGCTTTTTGTCAGAATAATTTTATAGAGGAGGAAAACGAGAAAAAGATTTTTTTATGTTTTGTTAAATACGTTTGTAAGAATATATATCTTTTTCTCGTTTTCTTTCTCTAAAATCAATTTTGACAAAAAAGCAACTTGTTATATTGTATATAATGAATGTAAAATATGTAATATAATTTTATAGAAATAATTCAATGTGTTATTCTTTCTCTCTGGTTTATTGTAATAACTTGTCGTAACAATTATCGGTTTATTCTTCTCCAAAAATACCAATAATTATATTTTCCAATACTATATTAATTTATTTTTACAAGTAAAAATTTTCAGTAATTTGTGTGTAATATATATGTATGAAAGCTCAATGCATCTTATAAAGTTAGAGAAATTTTTATTGTAATTGTGTCAATTTCGGCATAGAAGACTATTTTTTCTTCTCGTCCATTTATATTCTACAATTATCTATGCTATACGAACTTCTATATAGAATCCAAAATGCCATAGAGCAAAAACTGTAATAACAATTAGACGATATATAGATAAAGAAAATTGCATTTTAGCGTTTTCTCGCGTAAGTACGTCGAATTTTCCCACCGGGTTTCACCTTTCCTTCGTACTTGGCGCATTCGTGTTCGTCAGGTCGCGAGGGAGCCTCAGTGACGAGGATGACGGGAGAGGCGGCGGCACGTGGGGACTACTCGTGCATCGGCGAAGTAACGGTTGTCCGGTAACCGCGTCAGAGCCGGTGCTAGCGGTACTCGCCGGCGTTCCGTTACTCGACCGACAGATCCGCTAAAGCGACTCGAGCTCTCTCTTTCTCGCTTGTTGCGCGCTGCTCCTTTCTCTGTCATCGCCGCCGACGCCGACGCCACGCCGCGCCGTCGTCGTTCCTCGTCACCCGGACAAGTACCGGCGCATCGCGAGAGCCGTTCTGTCTCGTCGTGCGATTCGCGTGCTGGTAATGGTCCGGCGTTACGCCAACGCGATTACGCGGTTACGCGAGCGAGATCGTGGACCCGACCGCCCATTCTCGTACGGTATCGATTTTATAATACAAATCGCGAAACGCGAGATGATTTTCTGCTAACAATAAATGCAAATAAAATGAAAGATTAAGGTGATTTCTCTCGTGAGATGTTAGGTACGATTCATCGACATATAGTTCAATAGCGAAAGAGCAATTTTGAGAAATTTGTTTTCTTTTTTCATGAGAGTGCTTATCAAATCGATAAAATAATTTACGTATGCAATTTATCATTAAAAAATAAGATTATTTTTTGTGTGTTCAAAATGACTAACAAATATTAAAACAGGCTTCATATCTATATTCTTAAATAGACGCAATTATTGAGGGAACGAACCATCAATTTTTTTTCAATTTCGAGACTTTTATGAATGTATCAGGCTCAATTTGCACTAAAAATCTCGAAATCGAACAAATTGGTGATTGGTTGCATATTGCATAACTGCGTCTGCAAAATAAATATCTAATTAATTATAATCTAATTAATCACTTATTTCGCAAAATGTCAAACTGTGTATTATATATTTTTTGCATCATGTGGACCAGCATATTTAATTATCGCTATTTTCAATATAGCGCTCTTTTTAGCGCTTATTTGCTATCATTATTTCGATAATTCAAATTGCCTAACATCCTCATTTTTTACTATTTATTCAAAAGCGAAACGTTAACATCGAGCTTTAAGAAACTTTCAAACAATTTTCTCTATTCGTTCTCATACCTGTTCCCGTAATTGGCGGGGATGTTAGCTGCGAACTGCTTATATCCGGAGGTTGTTGCGTTTGTTGTTGTTGTTGTTGTTGTTGTTGCGGTTGTTGTTGTTGTGGTTGCTGTGTTTGTTGCTGCTGTGTTTGCTGCTGCTGCTGCGGACTGTTCGCAGCGACGTGTGCAGTGCCCGGACTTGCAGCGCTTTCAGCCATTTTTTCGCGCGAATGTGTTTGCTTTCAGCAAAAATACGAATTATGGCATCTCTACGTATGATAATTGTTGAAGACAGCGTCGTGGTTGTTGCGTCAAGGCCAGCGACAGGATGAAAATGAATGAACTGTTTAAATAGTCAGTCGCTTTCGATATTGCTCGAGAAATACCAAGTGCTTTGAGCTTCTATCCCATTATATATTTCTGTCCATATATAGATACTCGCATATTTATTGCAGATTAGTGTCGATTTATTTACATCTCTTTGCAATTGTTAGATTCATCTCTTTGTAACTTGTTTGAACATTTCAAGGAAGATCCTTTTTATTTAAAGCGCCCGATATTTCGTGCCGCTTCTTAATTTTTCGTTGTCACTCGTGTTTGATTGATATTTATGCTAGCAATGATCTTCTATTTTTTGTGTTCATTTAGATTGTCATCGATGGCTCGTATCGGTGCATCACGCTTTTACAATATGTCGATGCAACGCGCCAATGTCGGAGAGAATTTCGATCTCGATATATACGTCTTCGATCGATTCTTCGGCAAATGCGATCAAACATTTGTTTTGATTTTTCATCTTTGAGATCGAATCAATTGATCAACTTTAAAGGATAGGGACAGAATGCGAAGGTTAAGAAAGACTGTTTCCGGAAGATTGTTCAGTAACACTGTACACTAGTGAAAATCGTCATTTCCATCCTCATTAATAAAGTGACTTTTTTGTGCATCCAAAGACAGGTGAAATCGAGACTCGGTTCAAGAAGGGAGACGAACGACAACAAACATTACGGAGGAAAGTATGAAACAGGGGTAGTTGGGGCGGCCTCGAATGGCAGCCTGTCGAGTCGATAGGTCAGTGGGTCTCGTTCGGAGAGGGTCGCTTCGATTCAACCACGCGTTTCCTTCACGCGCAGCCTCGAAACAGCGAGGGAGCGTAGCGGTCGAAGTTCTTAGACCCGGCGCGAGTTCGATCTGTACGACCGACTGGAGAGATGAAGAAGTGCAAACACACTATCGCTGAAAAACTTTAACAATAGTTTACCTCGAGAGAACGATTGATTATTCATATATATAACAATTTTATATTCCCACGCAGAAATCGGTTTCTTTAACGATACAACAACTGTAACGATCGATTTTAACGATTGCGGCTCTTATAAAGTCGCGTCAACGAAGCGCGTTATGTAGAATAGCGACTGATTTTTATTGCGAGTTTCGACGAGAGAAATATTTGAAGATGGAGATACGTGAGAGAGAACAGTTTCGTTTTTTCCCCATTCTTTTCTTCAACAAGCTTCTTTACAAGTTGGTATTTATCGCCAGGTTAGTTATGACGACTGTGGCAAATGTGAAACGTTTCAACAAAACTCGTTATTAGAATCGTTTGATTTGTGTCATCACGGGTAGTTCGGGATAGCTCGGTTCCGATTCGGGCGAATGATGAAGCTCTTCAACGAAGGCGCTCGTGATCTCGTGCGATCGGTATCCCTCGAGGATCCATATCCGATCATGATCGGTCAGCGGCTCGTCCTTTACGAGGATCATCGATCGAAGGGCATCGAATCGCCGAAGAATCCGATGAGGGAGCGAGACGGTGCTCGCGACCTTCGACGATTAATTCGGCGGCTACGGTCGATATCTTGTCACCGAGCAGCAGCCTCGCACGCGATAAGATACTTTAGCACTCGCGACAAAACTCGCCACCGCCGCCGTTCCTCTATCCGTGTCGCGATGCTCCTCCCTCGTTGACAACTGCCGTCACGTCAATTTCGTCGATCACTGATATCCTCGATCGATCACCACACTGCCAAGGACGTCCACACCGCGAACCACTTGTCCTCGCATATTCCGTCCGGTATCATCGATGGTATTTTCCCGTCTTCGGATTCTTCAGGGTGTTGATGAAATGCGTTATTCCCGTCGACGATCAACAAATATCATCCCCTGAGACGCTTTCTCCCGTATCCGAGGTCGAGTGTTTAGGTCTTTGTGCGATCATCGACGAGGTTGACGCATTCGGATGTTGTTGAAGATAGCATCGGGAAAGCACGACAGGCTTTCAGGGATGATTCGAGCGCCTCGTGGTTTCACGTCATCGTCCGTCGTGCTCACCGATGATGGAAGCGGAGGTTCGCAGCTTGTCGGGAATCAAGGCACGTTACTTTTTTTCGTTGGAAATCGCGAGCTGATCGCGCGCAGGATGAGTGACTGCGTGACTCCTGGGCTCGTCGTCGAGGAAGGAGCTCGTCGAGTCCTCGTCCTCGTCCCGGGCTCAAACCTTCCTTCCTTCCTGCCTTCCTTTCGTTTCGGCGTTATGCACTTTGCGGGGCACCAGTGGCTCCTGCTTGCATCGACCGTCACCAGATGGCATCCGGGAACTTGACTCGCCCCCGAGCAGCCCCGTTGCGCCCCCGGAACCCTCGCCAACGCCACCCCGCCCGGATTACACTAGCTATAGCGAGGGATTCCCACCTCTGCGCAATATTTATGGCGGAGGAACCAAATTTTTCTTATACCGAACTTCACGTTTTAAGCTACGTATGTAGAACAAGGAGGACAGAGATAAATAAGAGGATAAAATAGCGGTGTATAAAATATATAATCAATGATGAAATGAATTAGAAGATAAGCTATCGTTGCTATTAATTGATTACTATTTTTTATATGTACTTTATCATCTTGTCTACCGCTGTGTTCTTTTTTGCCTACAAGTTCTGTATGAAATAATCGCGCATGCGAATATATTTTTTATCATGCATAATTCATACATCTAATAATTGTTATTACGTATACTTTTACGTTTTGGACATTTCTCTAATGTTTTTTTTTTTCATGAATTATGTAATATCTATATTCAAAAATATAATTATATCGAAACCTCGTTATAAGATTGAATGCGTAATAAATGAATGAGCTAGCGTAAAGCGGCCTTTGCACGATTCGGAGGTGGTGCACCCTTGCGCATGTGCGACTCCCGCGCGACTTCGCTACCCTTCCTTCGATCGCGTTACTACCCCGAGTTCGTTGGAGGATAGTCTTATCGGATAAACGATAGGACAGGTTGCGATACTGCCTGTCTGTTGTTTCCTTCGTTACGAAAACCACTCCATTGCTATTATTTTTTTCGATGGCAAGTAGGATGTAAATACAGAGTGTAATGATTCATATACCTACTATTCAATATTTGAGTTTCTATCAAGAAATAATTGATAAGGTAAAGTGGAACGGTAATCAGCGTATTTGTCGAAATTTTGAAATATTTTCATTATTGGAAAAATTATGATTGAAATTTTTGTTCCATAATATAGAAGATAATAATTCTGTTAAATTAATATACTGCTATAATTATGTAAAAATAAATTTCTCTCTTCAAATATATACATATACATGTATACATATATGTATGTATATTAAAAACAAATGATTTGTTCATAATTTGCAAAGAGATGAATGATTACAAAATCTTACGTAGCATTAGATATCTTTTTAATTTCGATAGCATTTCTCTCTCCGTTTTCACAAGTTGCTCCATATCGCACTACCGTTATCGCCCACCCTTTCGAACGGATCTGCAGCTCGAGCGTGTCCGTTTCGCATTAAAACCGTCTCTGGGATGCGAAGCTGGGAGGGGAACCACGCGCGAAATGATCCCTCTCTCCTTTGAGTCCTGAGGAGGCTCGCATCGAGGCCCGACGCGAGAGCCGTTGCATTTTCAGAACGGTACTCCTAACTGTATCTCACATATGTGTGTACGTGCGTATGTGCGCCGTGCCGCTCACCTGTCGGCCAGCCGCGCGCACCAATCGCCGAATAACAGCAGCCGATGAACTCACCGCGCGACCGGTGCGGCCATTGATCAAAGAACTGGTACATCTTGTTAGAAACATGTGGAAATTATTCTCGGTCCTCTTATTTTATGCAAAATTATTTTCTTTCAAAAATATTTTATTTCAAACTCAAACACATATTACAACGAATTATATACAATTATATATTATACAGACAAGTCGCATATAAATGGACGTATCGTAAAAAAATATCTTTTTTATTTTAGAGAGTACTGTGTGAGACTGTACTCTGATAGATATTGTTTTTCTTTTATTAAAATTAATATCTGCTGAAGTATAATTATTAATTTAAACTTGAAAAATGAAATTTTATGAAGAAATAATATTGAAAATAATGAGTATAAATTTTTTTTTATTTACAAAATTGGATCTAAATAAATTAAAGGAATCCTCAAAGAAAGATACACACAAAGAGAGAAACGGTTAGTGAATCTCTCTTCTACGCAGATATATCTACATACATGCGGGTCGCGTGCACGGACACTCACGTAATGTGGGCCCGTTTGCCGGAGATACCGTAAGACCTTACGGTGTTACGTCACAGGTAGAGAACTGGCGTGGTTAGGAAGACGTACAAAGGACGACAGAGAAAGGGGTAAAGGAGAAAGGAAGGACAAACGCGCTTCTCTCTCGTGCGGAGATGAACTCTGCGTGTTTTAAATTAGAATGCTCAACGCGTGTGAGACAAATTCTATTTCTGTCCATACACACGATATCTTAAAACGGTATACATTGTTACATTTGGCTTCGATTTATTTTTATCGGAAATTTTATTACAGTTTAATTATCGAGATATTTCTTATCTTGACAGATATTTTGAAATGTTGTGACAAATAATTAAATTATTATTAATATAAATAAAGAAGAATAATTTAGTTTTAATTAATCGATTTTCAGTAGATTGCTTGTTGGGAATAAAAAAAGTTAGATTATATGTGCGCGCATGTGTCTCAAAATATACCTATTTTTAAGATAAAACGTTAAACAGATTCGATGAACAAAGCAAACATTCGTAATGTATTTTAAAAAAATCTCTCTCATGAAATTAAATCATATTAAGTTCGGTAAATAGAACTTCATTATTTTTTAAAATAAAGATAAATTTGTTGAAAAAAATTAAACATTTTTCGAAGAGAATTAACTAAAAAGATTCAATGTTTTTTTTTAAATTTAATTTATGTAAATTAATTCGAGAAATAAAAATAGACGCGAACAGTTTTGAAATGCGTTTAGCATCGCACGATTGAGTTCGTAAAAGTAAATCGGGCCAAAACAGCCGTTGACTTTCCGCATGAATCAAGGAGAGTGGGTTAGAATCGTGGATTCCCGCTAGTTTTATACCGTTTGCCGTTAAGCTTTTCATGCGTGCGTGCGTGCGTGAGTACGATTCCGATTTGCGGATGTTTGGCTTTATGCGAACCGATGCATGTCCTGATAAGTTCTCATCGCGTGCAGCGAATCGTTCCCGTTGCGCTCGGTAACGAAATTTCTTCTTCCACTCCATTCTATTTTATAATTTCTAATTTTTTCTAGAGTTTTATATGAGAAACACGTTCACAGTTTATTATAATTCGGAGTAATAAACTTGTATAGACGTAAAATCAATTATATTAAAATTACATACTACTAGCACATTTGATAACCATTTTTTGGAGTATTTTAATAATATTTGATTATTCAAAATGGGCTTCTTTCTCAAAATATAATTTTCAAGTTCTGTGATAAATGGTAAATCAATATTTTTCAATTTGTCATTTTCTAATTATTTCGCTAACTTACTTCTAAGAATTTTATAAGAGTTTCTCTGATTAATATTTACCACAATAAAAAATATTAATACATATTTACCACAATAAGATATACAATATTTTCGATTCATTTTACTATTTATTGTGGTAGATATTAATATTTTTATTAATAAATATTAATTAGAGAAACTCATAAAATTCTTCCGATAGCACGATTATCATGATTTTCAGAATAAATTCTTGAGAGAAATAATTCCCTCGGTGTACCAATCAGTTTAAAATGGAAAAAATTTATTCTCAAGACTCTTAATTGCTTTTTCATAATTTTTTCAATTTTTAATTTTAACCATCTATAATTTGGTTTATAATCTGCCTTAATTGAATTTTTATTCATTTAATATTTTTCACGGCGATTTATAAATAGCCAAAGAATGTCTTTTACCGTTCGAATTGGCGTACCGTTATCGTTCAAGAGTCCTATCGTTTGTTCTTAGTCATTATTATCTCTTATTTACAAAATCAAACGACGCGGCGAGTCAACGGACGAGTCAACGTTTCGTTAAGCATTTCGCAAAATCGCTCTTGGCCGGGCCGCAAAGGCTTTGCTTAAAATCACCAGGCCCTTCCACAACCCCCTCCGGCCCAACCACCCCCACCCCGGACCTCTCCTTCCCACACCCTGCGTTCTCCTGGCGGCGGGCCTCGTCCACGTGTTTCTATCTGCGGTCAGTGCACTTTGCTGCACGAACCGCGGCCGTTTACCGAAGGTCCACGCAACGCGACCGCGCTTAATAATCATCCTCCGGAGGATCGTCGACCCTGCGCGTTCGGGAAGAGCGCAGGAAAACAAAGCTAGCATACGGAATTCGGCAGATTGCGCGGCTGGGAAAATGGTCGGTGCATATCGCGGCACGTGCGTCGACGATCGGGATGATTTCGAGTCCCATATTGATAAGTTGGATTCGAACTTTTATTTCATTTCAATTGCTAGAAAAAGGCTGAAAACTATGCGGAAAATTTAAAGCAAATTTCAAATGTATATCAATCTTAAATACAAAGACTTTTATCTTTAAACATTATACATTATTAATTTTTTATAAGTTCTCTCTATATTATTTTTGCATTCTCCATATTTTATTCATTTTTCTTCGTGTCTCCTTCGGTGTGTATTTTTATATTACCAAAAAATATTTTTAATCCTATAAATAGATTATCATTATTTTATAGTTATCGAATCAATAAATCGATGGATTACTTATTCACATTTTCATAGATTCCTTTGTATATAAATTTAAAATCCTAGCTATCTTTTTCATATCTTCATGAACAGTACTATCCAAAAGGATCTTCGTTTTATGGATCTCTTTGAGAGATCGTTGAATCCATAATTCTTCAATTCTTCGCGTATGCCTTCGGTTCCCTACAATCTCGATCTCGCGGATTCTGCTTTTATCAGCTCGAGATAGAAACGAAGTGTAAAGGCGGAAGTAAGGAAAGCCACGGAAGATTCTCGCCCGATAAGGGAATACGCGTGGGTTCCGGTCATTCGTCTCCATCTCAATACTCTCTGGCGCGAACGCCGCCGAGTATCTCCGTGTCGCTGACACGTACTAAACGGAATGCGACGCTCGGAAACATAGCGTCGCGGAAGTAGAAAAAATGCAGATGCAATCGCGATACGACGTACTAATGACGACGTGAGTATTTTTGTATCGCGGATTGCTGACATCACTTGCGCTGAAATATTCACATGCAAT